TAAAGTTTAAACTATAAAACAATTAATTAATTAATTAACCTAATGATATATGAATTATTCAAATTTCAAATTTAAAACTAAAAGTTTTTAATGTAATTTTTTGAAATAAAAAATGAAATAATTAGGATTAGAATAGAAATGATAAAAAGAAAAAAAAAATTATTGTAAACAATAAAAAACATATAATTTAACAAAAAAAAATAATACTAGGTTTGGGAATACAAGATAATTGTGTTTGATTGATGATGTCATGAATTAGAAATCCTACATCATCGATTTTGTTTCGATCTTAGGGTTAGCGTCTAAATTGAGTTTTGACGGCAGGTCATGTGTTGACTCTAGTGCAATGTCTTCACCAAGCTGACCTCTCGTTTCTCGACTTGTCTCCTTTGTGCCACTGTTTTTCCATTTAAGTTGGTTGATCTAAGATTATTTTTCACTGTCATCATGTCTCGTCATTGTCAAGTATAGATAACTAAGGGAAGATAATGTCACTGTCTATGTGCACAGCTGAGCGAGGAGGGAGGAGAACTGCTAGTGATTATACAACAATCACTGGAAGAAGCACGCTCGTGCGTTGAATGCGAAAGTTGTTTCATAGTAAACCAATTCGATTCTACAAGCTCCATTTTCTGTTAGACATTGGCCCGATTTAACTAGATCGGTTTGAGTTCGATTTGTTTGGACGAATTTGATTCAATCAATTTGTTGGTCTAATTCTCAAGGCTACTGAACTTCCATACCCTCATTTTCCCATCTCATTTCTCGTGTCCATACTCATTTAGGTCACAAGAAAATTTTCTTCATACTTTCATCTCATTTCTTTGTCCCGTTCAAGGCTGATCTCGTCCTTCCGAAAAAAAATTAGCATCCCGACTTGAAGGACATAAAAGGAATTAATGTCAACTTTTTTTCTCAAAACTAAAAATCAATAATATAAATTTAATAGTGTGTATGTATGGGCATTGAAATAAATAAATAAAATAGAAATAAAAGAAAATTTTAAATATGAATATTAAAATGGCTATTTGACTCTTGACTTAATATCCGTAAAAGTAATGACATTATTTGTTATTTCAAAAAAGGATTAGATCACACTCAAATATTTTATATTCACTCATTTAAATTTTTAAATATTTTATATTAATTTTGATGAAAAGTATTTTTAACTGTTGTAAATAATTGTTTTTACATATAAATTATTTAACTGGAAGAAATTTTAGGTAATTTACCTTATTAGCATTTTTTAAAATTTTTTTATGGGTTAATTAAGGATTCTTATTGTATTAATTAAAAAAAGTTGAGGATAATGCTTAATATTTCTTTAATGTAAGAATTTTATAGACTAAGATAAGATATTTAATTGCTAAAAGAATAAAATAAAATAAAATGAAATGAATAAAGTAAATTAAATTTAATATTTTGCTTCAAAGGTCAAATCTAGTATTTTTGGTTCGATGTTTTTTTCGTTGACTTCTTGAAGTGGTCAACACTTTTCTTTTAGTCAATCCTCTCTGATAATTATTTTCAAAATTTTTGTTCTTAAAGAATATTTTGAAATATGATAATCGAGGATGTGAATGAGTCCATACCACATCTAAAATAAGAGTGATCATAAAAATATGAGCGTTTAAAAGGAATTAGTAGTCAATTCTATCCCAATAGAATGTGGGTCGGGGATGAACAGAGGTGAAAGCTTGCAGACATGCGACGCTCGAGTAAATGAGGATATATCAATAAATTGATATGACATATGAATAAAATGATTGTGAAGATACGATGATTAAAAAATAATTTAAAAAGAATTGATAGCTAATAACTATGCCTGGTGCACCTCTAAACATGTTTAATTTGGAGCAATTTTGTACCGTGTGTGTGCTAGCAACAACTGTGATTTGTGAAAGTAAAAGAACACTGAAGGAGAGTGTATCAGCCTAAGCCCACCGCTAGTAGATATTGTCTGTTTTAGCCTGTTATGCATGGTATCAGAGCTAGACCCAGGACGGTGTACGAGTGAGGATGAAGTTAAACGAGTAGTTGGGTCCAAAGATTTTGATCATTAAAATCCCTAATCACGAAACTAGCTCCAGCTTCTTTGAGCAACTCTTCTGGGTTTCTTCTCCCAATTCCTATCACTTCCATTCCAGCTCCCACTCCTGCTTTCACTCCAGATACCGAATCCTGTTCCCACATAAAAAGGGTTTCGATCAAAACATTAGTAACGGTTCGGGTTTAGTTTTAATACGATGCATCGTTATCGCTTCAAAAAATGATTTGAACTTAGTTTCAATCTCGTTTTTATAGTTAAAAATTTTGAACTCCGGTTTCATTTAGTTAAACTTCACAAATCATTCGTAAAGTACCAATCATAATTCTTAGACCGAAAAACGAACCTCAAAGACAAAAGCATGTTGTGGAGAGACTTGGAGAGCTTGAAGAGCCTTTAAGTAAGGATCAGGGAATGGCTTTGCACGTTCACATTCATTCCCTATGATCACCACCTCAAAAAAATTTGTAAGTTTAAGCATAGAAAGAATTAGCTCGGCGTTCGGCCTTGGGGCATTCGTCACGGCGGCGCGTTTAATCCTGCACTCTTCGATCCATTTACAGACCTTGTCCAGCCCTTCTATGGCTTCCAACTGCTCTTCTGCTAGTCTGGTGGAGATGAGTTAAAAATTCCGATCAATTTTAGTTAACTAATCTTGATATCTATTCAATATGCATATCTAACTCTGACACGAAAGTGTGCACGTCATTTTTTCAAAATGATTTTCAAGTTATAGTGTAGGAATTACGAGTAGGGTTACGAAACTTTTAGTTATATGAATGTTCTAGAAAACACACGAACATAAGTACAATAAAACCGAACCCGAACCTGCAAAAGTAAGTTTCTTTATCTTGAAGGAATTTTCTAGCTTTGGGTAGGTCCCAATTTGGGAGGAGGATGGCACAAAGGTCCTCATTGTGCCTTCCACTTATGTTTTCTATGAAGAATTCCTCATTGATTGGGACTCCATTGTTGAATCCAACCTGCACCAAATTTTTTTTTTAAAAAAATAAGTAAAAAAAAAAAAAAAATAAATGAATGAAATTTAAAAAATGTAACGTTGATTTATCTTTCGTGTCGATTCTGAATTCATATACATATAGAAACACCGATGAAAATGTCAACATGTTGATAAAAAATTTTAGTCTTAGCCCATAGCCCACCAAGGAGAGGTTTCTACAATCAAGAGTGTTTCGTTTCCCTCTACAACCGAGATCTCATAAACTAAAAGCTTATGAAGGAAAAACTCAAAGAGAATAATATGAGCTAACGGTAGGTTATGACTGTTACAATGAAGATACCGAGCCCCGCAAAGAGGGTCAATTATGAGATCTCACATCTGTTGAAGAGTAAAACAAAACATTTATTATAAGAATATTTTAAAACTTTGAGGGAAACCGTGGAAGGAAAACCCAAAAAGAACCATGCTGGGGTTAGTTAAGTCTGTTACACCCATAAATTAAACGGGTAAAAGCAAAAAAAACAATATCTACTAGCTGTGGGTTAAGTCTGTTACACCAATAAAGTCAACCAATTCTAAACGTACCATTAAATTGATGCAATTATTAAAATTTTAATTTAATAAAAAGGGAGAGACCTGTTGAAGCATTTGGCGGAAGGCGTAGAAGTGGAGAGGATCAGAATCACAAAGTGTTCCATCAATGTCAAACAGAACAGCTTCAATAGGGCCCTTCTCCCACGAGCTGAGAATATTAAAATAACAATTCAATCCCTCAACAAACTTTATTTTATTTGCACATGAGCCCCTTCAAATTCTTCCTAATTGCATGAATCCCACAATACCAGTCGGAGGAGGGAGGAAGGAGCTGTGAGTACCTGCTTGGGGAGACAACCGCGGCCGGAGCTGGCGGAGGGCGGCGAAGATGTGGAAGAGTGGAGGGGAAATGGCTGCAAAAATGGTGGCGGGTGCGGTGGGTGGGGGGATGAGGAGTAGAAGGTAGAGGGACGATGGTGGGATGATGAAGAGATTGCATTCTTTTCTGTTTGAGTGTGTGAACCACAAATCTCCTTCATATTGGATCTCTCTCTCTCATTCTTAATTTATTTCTACGACTATTTGTATGGGGGAACGAGACTATTTGTACACGGGAACGAAACCTTTCTTATAAGGGTGTGGAAACCTATGTTTGGTAGACGCATTTTAAAAGTATGGGGTTGATGACAACATGTAACGGGTCAAAGCAAACAATATCTACTGGCGGTGGGCTTAAACTATTACAAATGGTATCAGAGTCACACGTCGAAGGGTGTGCCAACAAGGACGCTGGGTCCCAAGGGGTGGATTGTGAGATTTACTGGCGGTGGGTTTAGACTATTACAAATGGTATCAGAGTCAGACATCGAGGGGTGTGCCAACGAGCACCCCCCAAAGGGTGGATTGTGAGATCTATTGGCGGTGGGCTTAGACTATTACAAATGGTATCAGAGTCAGACATCGAGAGGGGAATTAAATATTTCTTATAAAGATGTGTAAATCTCTCTCTAATAGACGCATTTTAAAATCATGAGCCCCAAGTACAACCGACACAAAGTATATATTAAAATCTTATTAAACATTTTTTAATTTAAAATTTTGTTGGAATTTGCTATCAAACAATTAATTTGAATTTCCCAAAATTTGGAATTAGATTCTCATTCTCCAAACAAAATGGTATTTATTCTCTTTGGCCACTACACTTTTTTTCCCAAATTCCAAATTAAATGGTTGATTTTTTAAAAATAAAATAAAATTTATACACTGCACTAATTTTGGGAAAATTAAAAAAATGAATTTAAAATTTTTTAAAAACAATTTTTATTTTAAATTGCAAATTTAGCCCTTAATTAAATTAAATTTTTATGATTTAAAAAATATAAATGAAAAAAATTAAATTCTTATATTCTTTCTAAAAAACTAATTTTGAAAATTGCACTGTTCTTATGACTATTTATGAAAATATCCCAAATTGAAACCATAATCCTCGCCGGCTTTGCTTAGAATTTTCATCTCTGCTCCTCTATTTAATCTTCTTCATCTCTGCCTACTGAATTTGCGGCTATCTCTCTCTCTCTACAGTGAGCAGCTTCTTTTCTTTGCTGGTTTATGCCATGTGTTCATCGCTGTTGGTAATTTGTATAGTTTTCTTGCATTGATTAGATAACTTGCGACCTGGATTGGCTTTAAAATCGTGATGAAATGCAAAAAATCCCGATTTCGGTCACTGTATGTGTTTTTATGTTCACAAAAATGGAGGGGAAATTGTGGGAAATCGACTGAATTAATTTGTTGTTGGCCATCTGCTACAACTTAGATAATAATAGAATTTGGAGTAATTTTTTTTTTTTATATTTTTTTCTGTTGGATGATCATGTTTATCTTATTGAATGGATTTTTCACTTGTTTGTGTATGTTCTATGATGTTTTTGTCCGATTTCAGCTGATGAACTTATGATGTTCTATAATTTTTTACAATCATACCCAAATTTATTGTGTATTCAAATTTTAATGCATGTAGATCGTTCTTATTTGAACCATACTTAGTTGGGGCTCATGGAAACGGTTGTGGATGCATCCACCAGTGAGGTACTTGAAGCTGTTCTATTAAAAATTTAAGCTCCATTCTATATAGGTGTTCTTGGGTTGTTTATTTCTGAAATTAGGTTTTCTCACCCTTTGTTATAATGGATTTCATTTTTTAAAGGAAACCTTTGAATTCTTAAACAAATTTCAAAAACAAAAACTAAGGCCCCTCTGATAACCATCTAGTTCTTGGTTTTTAAGAATTGTACTCATTTTCTCATCAATTCTCTACCATGGGTTTCATCTTATTTAACAAAACATTTGATTTCTTAGCCAAATTTCAACTTGGATTGGTTTTTGAGAATATAGATAAAAAAGTAGACAACAAAACAAGAAAATCCATGGGTGAAACTTGTATTTATAGGCTTAATTTCGAAAACAAAAAACCAAAAAGCAAGTGGTTATCAAATAGGGCCTAATTTTCTAAAACCTGGCTTGAATGTTGCAAACATTCTTAGAAAGTAGATATCAAAGCAAAGAAATTCTTGAGTGGAAATGGTATCTATTAGTTTAATTTTCAGAAACCGAGAAGATTATCAATGAGGCCATAGGCTAGTTTCGAAAGCACAATGTGTATGTCACTCTTAACTGATATATTTAAGCTGTTTCAGGAAGCAAATGGAAGTGCAGTTGAGAAGAAGCCTACAGTTGTCTTTGTTCTAGGTAAATTTAACACTTTAATAATGGTTCAGACAAGATGAAAATATAGGATCTTCTTGTTTGTTTGAGATTCCAGTGGTCGAAATTTTCAAATTCGTTCTTGTTCATTGGATGATTCTCTGAATATCTTTCCTTTTCTGTATCTTCCTTAATTCTTCATTTCCACCGTTCCATAAGCTCCACAGTTCCCGTCGTATCGTCTTTTGAATCATCCCCAAGAAAAAGTTTTCAGCTAGCCATGCCGTCTCAAATCTTCTTCTTTGTGATGCTGTTCGAATTTGAAGTTTTGGTTTGTCTGGCATTGTTATTAATAGGTGGTCCGGGCAGTGGAAAGGGGACACAATGTGCATACATTGTTGAGCACTTTGGTTTTTCCCATTTTAGTGCTGGTGATCTTCTTAGGGCAGAAATGAATTCTGGTTCTGAAAATGGGTATGTGTGTTCTATGGCCTGCTCATATGCTTGAGAGAGGACTTATAGAATTTGAACTTTGGTTGATATACTTTCTTTTTGTTACCTTCAGTCTAATGATCAGAAGTATGATCAATGAAGGGAAGATTGTTCCTTCTCAGGTAACAGTAAATCTTCTCCAGCAAGCAATGGAGGAAAGTGGGAACGACAAATTTCTTATAGATGGTTTTCCACGTAATGAGGAAAACCGTGCTGCTTTCGAGGCTGATGTAAGCGTGTTTCCCCTATTTCTTTCAAACATGTTCTAGTTTCCTTTTACTACCTTGCTCGATTCCAAGTCTTCTTACTTACCACTTTTTGATCGTTTTTAGACTGGTATAGAGCCAGCTTTTGTCCTGTTTTTCGATTGCCCCAAAGAGGAAATGGAGAGGCGCATCTTAAATAGGAATCAGGTTGGTCCATTTTGGCACTCTTACTCAACTGAAAGGTTATACTGTCAACCAATTACCAAATAGGCTAATTAAGTTCAGTGATTTAGGGAAGAGAGGATGATAATATCGAGACAGCTCGCAAGCGTTTCAAGGTTTTCTTAGAGTCTAGTCTCCCTGTAGTTGAGTATTATGAATCAATTGGGAAACTTCAGAAGGTAAATCTGATATGAATCTGCATTTTGAAAATTCTATTCCCTTTAGCATACATATAGACCTGACATTTCCTATTCAATTCTTAGATTGATGCTGCAAGGGCAATTGAAGAAGTATTCGAGTCGGTGAAAACTGTTTTTGCATCGATAAATGAGAAGGTAAAGCCCCATGGTCGTGCCCAGAAGAAATTTACTCTATTAAAACTCCAACTAAAATGGAAAATGAACCTTTTACGAAATGGAGTTTGCAAAGGGTATTGATTGGGCATGTTTTTGAGACAAATGAAGCTTCTTCTGCTTCAAAACTAAGAAGGGTTGAATACCAGAATTATGGATTATGAACCTAAAGTTCTATGCAAACTTGTTTTGAATTAGAAAGTAAATTTATCCAATGAACCTCGTAAGACTGATCGGTACGACATGCTTCATTGTAATCGTATCACGTTCTCCAGTAACTTCTATGAATCGAAATAAATGCTGAATGAGAGATGAAAAAGAATTTCTCATCTGTGTAATTTTGTGATAGAAGTGCAGAATTCTTCTAGAATAATTTAGCTTATTCAGTTCAACTCTGGATGCATTTAACGTCATTCCTAACTGGTAGTTTCTCCAAGAGTAACATTTTTCTTCTTACTAGCAAGGCGCCTTTGCCATTAGGTTGATGCTTAAGTATGTAGTGTTCATACACATTTGATGTACATGTACAATATTGTACAATGAGGAATATGATTTCACATTAAACCATGTGGAATTAGTTCGAGAAGTTTAAAGATAGATGTTGAAACCTATGAATGTGATAGGCATGTGTGAGATCCCACCTCGACTGGGGAGGAGAACGAAACATTCTTTGTAAGGGTGTGGAAATCTCTCCCTAGCAAACATTTTAAAAACCTTGAGGGGAAGCCTGACAGAGAAAGCCTAAAGAGGACAATATCTGCTAGCAGTAGACTTAGACTATTATAAATGGTATCAGAGCTTCACTACCGTTTTTTTAGTTCAATAACATGTGAGGGGGAGTGCTTCGAACAAACCTTTGACCTGTTGATCAAGGGTATATGCATTATCAATTATACTATGTTTAGGTTGGCAGTTTCAATACGCTTATATCCCGATCAAATCCCACCCAAGTATAGCTTGCTACGGTGTAGGGAAAGAAAAGAAGAAGAAAAAACGCGCTATCACAACGAACCATAAACTGAAATTATTTGTTCCATTTTTCCACTTATATTAAGATTTTTATCTCTTAGTGACCGCTATTTGCATCTTATGCAGGAGGATTGAGAGTGCTGCGATACCAAAACGATTCATATTATTGAGGTAATCCCCCTTCTGATTAAGGCAAGTGTCTGGGACACCAGCTCTAGGAGTATATAGAAGTCTCTGTCTACATGTTACTTGGAGAGTGCTATACACAATTATGCAGTGTGGTTAGCAACCAGTAATAATTCTAATGACAGTACTGATGTTCTGATATTATTTTCCTTGAGCTTTGAGCTTTTCCTTTGTTTTCCTCATTGGTTTTTGATAAGTCCATGACTTGATGTGTTGTTGGACTTGATGTGTTGTTGTGAGATCCCACGTCGGTTAGAGAGGGGAACAAAGTATTCCTTATAAGGGTATGGAAACCTTTCCTAATAGACGTGTTTTAAAACCGTGTGACTGATGGCGGTACATAACGGGTCGAAACAGACAATATCTGCTAGCGGTAGGCTTGGGCTGTTATAAATGGTATCAAAGCCAGACATTGAGCAATGTCCAGCGAGGACGCTGGGCCCTCAAGAGGGGTGGATTGTGAGGTCCCACGTTGGTTAGAGAGGGGAATGAAACATTCCTTATAAGAGTGTGGAAAACTCTCCCTAGTAAACGCGTTTTAAAACCATGAGGCTGACGGCGATATGGCCAAAGCGGAGAATATCTGCTAGCGGTGGGGTTGGACTATTACAAATGGTATCAGAGCCAGGCACCGAGCGATGTCTAGCAAGGACGCTGGTCTTCCAAGGGGGGTGAATTGTGAGATCTCATATTGGTTGGAGAGAGGAACGAAACATTCCTTATTAGGGTGTGGAAACCTCTCAAAGTAGACACGTTTTAAAACTGTGAGGCTGACGAAGATATGTAACGGGCTAATGCAGACAGTATCTGCTAATGGTGGGCTTAGACTATTACAAATGGTATCAGAGCCAGGCACCGAGCGATGTCCAGCAAGGACGCTGGTCTCCCAAGGTGGGTGAATTGTGAGATTCCATATCAGTTGGAGAGGGGAACGAAACATTCCTTATAAAGGTGTAGAAACCTCTCGTAGTAGACATGTTTTAAAACTGAGGCTGACGAAGATATGTAACGGGCCAATACAGACACAATATTTATTAGCAGCGGGCTTGGACTTGGGCTTGGACCGTTACTAATCACGTGAATTCCTTCTTGTGCATTGTGCTGGGTCTTACATTTTTGCTTTGGATATATTTTTGTTTGAAGTACCCAATTGGGTTATGTTATTTGTAACATATTATTTGCTTCCTACTCCTTTCAATGATGTTTGTTAATAACCATAGCGTGATAGTACACGTTCTCGATATACCGTCGAACTATCGAGAAAAGTAAATATTATGTAACTATCAGACGTTCGAGAGGTTTGATTCTCTCGCTATGCTAAATATTTTTCTACTGAGTTTCACTCTCTCTTTCTAATGGTGGGAGCCGTTTGCAGAAAATATCACTCGTTTTCTCGTACGGTCAAATATGACTACTATTTACGAAAGTCCGTGTTTCGTTTATTCGAGTAATGTAAGTGAAAATGTATGATGTGTTTACTACTACTCGTACAATTTGACATTTGCTAATAGGAAGGAATCTAAAGAGTTTGAGTATATTTTTCATTTTTTTTTTTTTGTTTATTTTTACGTGTTGAGAAATTGGATTAGCGTCGTTAAGTTTGTAAATAAAAATGAATTATTAACAAATAAAAAAGAAATTATTTTGTTTCTAGTAATTATAATTTTCCTCCAACTTTGCAGTTTCGTTACTTTACTGACCGAACACAACTCATGCGTAAACTAAGTTTTGTTCGACCATACACACGGCTTGTGTATGCATGTTTCACTTGTTTACAACTCTATCCAGCTTGCCATCTCATCTAATTGTCTTGATTCTAAAAAACACGACCCACACTTAGTCAATGACATCACAACTTGGTATATATAACATAAATACAATTACAATTTTTTATGCTTGGGTTATTTTTACAAAATATTTTAACCAACAACAAACTTAAATTTATGTTAAATTCGAATCACTTCACAAACTACATCGGTTATTCGATTATATATTTTAACCTTAGGCCCAAAATCACCGAGAATATATGTAAATTAGCACTAGACTATACTTTGATTAAGGCAAAAAAAAAAAAAATTTAATTTTGTAGCGCCATATTCATTTTTGATAGCACAAGTTCTTTTTATTTATTATTCTTAACATTGGATTATTATACTTTATATTAACGTAATCATAACTGGATGATGAAAATAGGATATAGTAAAAATTTAATTTTGTTTTAAAAATTTATTTTAATTAGGCATTGGCAAATGGGAGATCTATCCGAACATTTTCACAGTTTTTAACGATCTTGATCGGAGAGAAGAAAAACGGGACAATTAAAAGGCAAAAGAACAGAGAAATTCAGATTACAGAGGCAATGGCCGTATCGGAGTCTGTAATTTGGCGGGGTGTTGAACAAACCTTGTGATCAATCTGCAACAAAACCCGGGAAGAAGAAGACGAACAAGAACAAGAACAAGAGAGAAGAAGAAACCTCCAAAATTCCATCACGAACCACATCGTATATCTCCACACTCTTCATCAAGCTCTCACCCATCTTCAAGATCTGTTCCCAATTCCAATTCCGCAACACACCCACTATTTGTTTCAAGGATTTTTCGTTTTGATTTCGATCGAACTCGTATTCGTTTTCGATTTCAATTGCGGGTTTTGCGTTCTCGTGGATACATTCTGAAACTCCCGAAGAAGACGTAAAGGAAGAGGAGAAGTGGCATCAGAAGCAGAGTCCAATGTTTGGATCTAGATTTTCCATTTTCGGAAGCGGTGCTGCTGCTGCTGCTGATAAGGTTGAGAAGTCGGCGAAGAGCGATGTTTTTCCTGGCCTGAAACTTCGCTCCGATAAAGATGTATATTGGCCTGGCGATCCGGTTGTTGTTACCATTGAAATTTCCTCCTCTGTCCCTCAATTTGACTGCTCTCTTTTTATCGAACGCCTTCGTTTTGAGATTATTGGCCTCCAGAAGTTGGACGCTCAGTGGTTTAGCACTCAAAAGCCAATCCCTGGATCCAAACAACGGAGAGGTTCCAACTCCCTTCTATATGATATTGTTCTTAGAATAGATATCTAAAAAAAGTTTGTAGATGGATTTTCCCTGCTGATGTAGTTTCAATTTCATGTATTTTGGCTTTGTCAGGTGAACGCATTTTCATGGACTGCTCGGTACAATCAATAGTTTCAAATCAGATAATATCTTCGGGGGCTACTAAGTCATGTAAGCCTATGTGTTCTATGCCCTGCATTTATCTATCTCAGTTGCTGATATGCATGTCTTTCACTTGAATATTGCTTATTTGGTACTTCGCCACTGTCGTTCCCTTTGTTTAATTCGTAGTACACTGTACGTTAGATTTCGTTATGACGTTCGGCCTACTATCAAATGACATGATGACCTTGGTGAAAGATTGTTCAGAATTATGAAGTGAATTTCTCGTTTCGAATTCTGAATTGCCGAAGTATTAATTTGAAGTATGATACAATTATTTGGAATTTCGATGGTAAACATTTTCAACTTCTGAATTCTGTGTCCCTTCACCTTGAATATGTCTCTTCTCCATAGAAGTTTGTCTAAAGCCATTTGTGGTAAAATTCATCCAAAAACAACTTGATGATTCGTTCTGTGAAACTTAGCCTCGAGAGATATTTACATAGGAGAGGTGCAACAAAGGAGAAATACTGCACTGGAAATCTTGACAACTTGCTGTCCACCTTGCTATAGAGGATAAGAAACTCAAAATTATTGGTTTTTTCATTCCCAGTTTATGCAAGAGCTTTACTGTTTTTTTGGTGCACCAAGCAATCTTTGGGTGGCAACTCTTTCGAGCTAAAAAGAAAGGTGTATCGGAATTGTGTGATCAAGAGGAAAAGTTTGACGGGAGAGTAATTATAGATTTTTTCATGATTAATCTAGAAATGAGTAGAAGTCGAAAACCAACTTGCATTCGAGTTTGTCAGAATTAAAGGACTTTCAGAAACAATGGTTAAACCACATACCGACCACCTATTTAAGATATTAATACTCCTAGCTATATGTTGGTGTAAATTGTCATTTCTTTTTGACTCACATTGGTTAGCTACTATTTTGTCCATTTGGTGAAGTTGCAGTATCTTTTCCTCTTTGTGGATGGTAAGAATTCCCAAGAAGGTTAAACTATTCAAGGGGCATGTACTTCATGGAAAAGTTAACACCTTG